TGTGGATGCGGATTTTGAGCAGTTCTCCGAGCTGGATAATTATTTTGCAGACGTTTCGTTGCCTGACTAGGCAACATCATCAGTGCGGCTTCAGGGGCCTGGTTTGAAGTGCCTCGTAAGCGACTTCAGTGTCCAAGTGCTTATTGATCGAGTTCTGTTTTGAATGCCAGGCTTCAATGAATTCACGTGCTTGCCGGATTTTAGCCCTTCCGAGGATACTGGCATGCTCTAGGTCGACGCTGTCCAGCTATCGACGTACACAAAAATGACGTGACCAAACCGACTCCCAGCTAACGACTAAGAGCAAGCAAGACAAGTGGTCCTCTGAAGGCTCTTTTGTGAACAACACAGGGCGAATCACAGCCAATACTATGGGTCATTAAGTTAGTGAAAATAGCTACCGCGACGGGATGGTAGTTTGTAAAAGAACGTTGTCAACATGTGCGCAGTAGTGTCACGTCTCGGAGTGGCTGAAAGCTGCTACGTTGGGGGGAGGAATTGAACTCTACTCTCCACCGCCATTACGCCGGAGTTTGTGACGCGTTTTTGACGGGCCCGCAACACGGTGGTAACTGGCATAGACATAAGGTAATGGAAGCTGAAGCGAAAGTAATAGAGAACCTGAACTAGGTCAATTTATTCGAACGGAAGTTCAGTTGATCGGCTCAAGTGATACTGCTTATGTTGTCAATGAAAACTGCTCTAATTCAACCCTACTTGACAGAGCTCATTGACCTCTTCACAGACGAATTGGGTCAGCCGAGAAGTGCTATCACCCTCGAACATCATCACTGTTCCATGCGGATGTATCATCAAGGCCACGGCCATGTGAAATATTGCAATAGCATCCTCCGTTTACAAAGCTATGGTTGCGTTAACTTGATCGCTATCGATTCCCCAATCTCAACGAGGCGTCTCCTAATCGTTTCGGCACGGTGTAGCAAACGTTGCAAGCATCATTGGTCAGAATTTCGTGTCCACTTTGAACCAAATGTTCAGTGATGGAACTTCTGATACTCCCAGCAATACCGTAGAGACCCGAGATGGTGCTCAGCTATCCGTGTCGACAGACGCTTGGTCGTATGTCGGAGGTACTTAGCAACACAAGTGGAAGTAAATTGATATACCACGTACGATTCGGACTTGGCCGGTAATCTGTCTTTAGGCCGCTAAACAATGAATGGGGTGGTCTCAGCAAGAACGTGTGGATTTGCGGCTGCGTAGATTATTGTCACTGCAGCGGAAAGCCTTCTATTCAGTAGGTCAAAATCGGTATTACACTTAAACGGAACCGTGAGAAACGATCATGTACCGTCTGTCGGTAAATGTACAAATTTCTTTATTCATTTACATTATTTTTCGAATCGGGATGACAGGCTCATTGCGTTTACGAACCACAGCGTTATTTTTTAATAAAAGTGTATAGATAACCGTTTGAAAGCAGCGTCTTAATTATGTGTTCTTGTCTGCTAGCGTCTCCGAGCTGCAGATGGTAATACATGCAGCAAACTAAGTTCCCTTTATACCTCAGAGGCACGAAACTCAGCAAGTGCGTGTATTGTTCAACTCACGAATCCTTCCGGAAGAGGCTTCTCTCAAGCGAGTCGTCTTCCCGTGTCACCAGTAGTGCGTCCAGGAGCGATAGTTTGCAGCAGGAACAGGTCTGACTGTCACCCTATTTACCTCCGTTTACATACAGACTCTGGAGCCAGCCGTCGGAAAAACAACAAACAGGCCGATCGTAGAAGTGGAAACTGAGGGTGTCCGGATCGTGCGGCGCCATTTGGACCATGTGCGATCAAGACTATCTAACCGAGAAACAAGTGCTGTACCAAATCTGTCATTCCAACCACCAACCGACATGCAGGTGACTGACACCTAACCAGTAACTGAACCTTTGTTATGTCGCTCTAATCGTCAACGCCGACCAGTCGACCGCTTCCAGGTCGGTTAGCCTAAACCAAATGGGAGGGGGGAAGGATGGATGATACGGTCGTTGGTCGTGCCAAATCCATCCACCGCTATTCATCCGGGAAGGCTGGTGCGTAGGAGCGCGTGTACTTGAGTGCGTTTGTGTATCAACCAATCAGTGTCCACTACTGATTCTCTTCGAAGTGGAAATCGTCCTCGTGTTTATGTGACTATCAGAGCAGCCAATTTTCACATGCTCACATCTGTTGAGTAGAGTTTATCGATTTACGCTTGTTACTAAAGTTTTCTTACTGTCATACGGCTGTTCTGATTCTTCTTGGGGGTAACAGTTATCAAGCAGTAATTTGAATTGTATGCCATTTGTCTTCACAGTTATCTACTTACGCCTGCTGACTCCATCACCTTTGACAGCCGCATTGCTAAATCTGGTCAAGTTGGGACGTCGGAATATTAGCCTCTTCTGCTGCAGCGATTGCAAATGTGTTTCTTGGATGAACAATCGCGAAGAAAATGTCCTACTTTGCGCAAGCATCAAGTAGATGTAGGCTTCTAATGTGATACACTCACATGGACGGCTTCTTTTTGGGACGCGCTGCTGACTGCGCAGATAATGTCATGCTCCTTCGGGTTGTACAACTACTGAATCATTGCAGCATCGTGTTTCAGACTTGTCATCCGGTCACTTGTTGAAATGTTACATCTGGATTTTGTTCACTTTTGTTCGTGTTTCTGATCCGAATGTCGGCATCATTGGCTGCCTGTAGGCCACTGACGCATATTGGCACTTGTATTGGTCGCCTGTCATCTCGTGTACTTGTGACCATTCGCACGCACGATTGACACGGTTCGAATAGCTGACCCAATCTTCGTCTTCTTACTTATCGTCGGACACTTGTACCGGATGTCGATGTATTAGCATCATACTTAAATTCACTGGTTTGCGTAATTAAGGTCTCCGGAAAGGGAACACTCACTTGTCCTTGCTCTTAAGTTTGACCGTATTGACAGTTTCCGAGTCAGCATCTCAATTAGCTTGGCCTGCGATTTTTCCGACTGTCTCTGCTCTCTGCCTCGTGTGCCGTCCAACCCCCCTGGGCAAATAGAAGACAAGATTTTCTACACCGGACAGAGCGTGGTTAAATTTATTGGTCATTCCTCCTCACCTCCGACTGTACGTTGCTGGGCCGATTGGCGTCACCCGTCTAATCACGTCCAAATGTGTTGGCGGCCTCCTGTATTTGGCTACTGCGCGTCACACGTACGCGCCATAGCAACCCGTGTTATAATGACAAACTAGCTTTGCCAGCTGCCCTGGACCGCTGGACAACTTGTGCCGTGGATGGCGAACTGATTTCCTCAGCTTTCCGCGTAGAGTTCCTGTCTTGCACACGTCATGTGGACAGGCACTGCCAACGTCCTACTTTAGCAATTCTCTCTAAGCTTCCAGAAGAGGACTTCGTCTTCTATGCTGTTCATTCAGGTTATACAAACTCCATGTCTTAGCCATGTCTCATATACTGCAGTAGATTTTCTGAAGAGACTAATATCCTGGCACGGGCACACGTCTCATGGTGATGACAACCCCCCCCCCCCAAAGCGCTGAATTTAGTTACTGCAAATTTAAACGAACGGCTCTCTCAGTTTCAGTGAGATTGGGGTTCCATCAATGTGATAACACGGTATCACCAGTTCCACCATTTACAAGAGTGCAAGTGCAGATCCGGCCAACTAGCGCACGATAACCCTCCCAGCGATTTCCAATTCATGGAGACCAGTGTAGCGGAATCGCGAATCATTTGGAACAACATCATCGCACCAGCGCAGTATGTATTCTGTCAGAACCGATACTGTACTACAAACTTGCTACTTGATCGCTCGAACCGAGCTGAAAACTTAGGCGTCGGTGTGGTAGTTGACACCTTTTATCTGGGCTTCTCATAGGCGTTCGACCATCTGAGCCAACGCATTTTCCTTCATAGGCTTCCGAGCTCTTTAACTGGCGATCTAGTTCTAGGTTCGATAGTTAACTTCCTGCTTCAGCGACATCTGAATATGGGAATTTGCTGTCTTGTCTAACCCATTGGTAGTTCAGTGCCGATTGTGACAGGGCTCAGTATTTGATCCACCCTTGTTCTTGATTAACATAAACTATCTCTCCTGCGTCATCATGTTACATGTAATACTGATAGTCTTAAGCTATGACAAGTTTTCAAAACAACAGGATGGTCTTGACAGAGGATATGATTGGACGACTCAGAACATGCTTCATTTCAACGCTACCTAGTGGAAAATAGAGCATATGCCGTCATGCACTCGCAATTATAGACGGTCAACTTTTGTGAAGCCCTATTGAATGCGACTTAGGAATGCTGGTACGAGACAATCTTGACTGTATACACCAGGGTGAGAAAGTACCGGAAAGCCAACTAACACATTGGCCTCTTGCAGAAGGGGTTGGGCAATCCGACCCACACACTATCCGCGTTGCAAATCCCACGACAGTCACCAAGACTTGTAAGTGGTTGTTTCATGTGCACCAACTAAGGCCGAATACCCTTGGCGCCCACAGTGGGCAATATTGGCGCCTGCACGGCGATTTGATAATGACTTATCAGGTCTTGATGAATCCCAACCACGTTTGTGGTAATTTTCTGAAAATAAACCGCAGTATCACACGGAGTGGCAATCAGCTAAACCTGGTCAAAATTCCCCTACCTTTCTTGTGTATCAAACTTTGATCGCCTTCCCGATTTTCTTTCTTCCCCCACATTAATAATGTTTTAAAAATTTCTTGATGAATTACCGATACTTTTACATTACGTGATATTGCCCTTCTTGACTGGATATCAAGGTAACACAAACAATTCATGAGCACAGTTTAACTTCCTTGTGCGTCCAGCAATACTTGCTTGGTCTCATTGACGCTACTCAATACACCAATGTTTGCGCCGCTTTGATCCTTTACGTCTGTCAACTTATCCGACCTTTTTAGCTATAAGTCGGCTTGTGTCACTTTCCCTCAAAATGATTATTTGGGTTCTCATCTATTCATTTTGTATGAATCTCAGGCGAATGCGCGGCAGCAATCTGTGGATAAACCTAATGCGAAGTCTCTGAAGTTGTGGGAATTGTATTCTAGGTAAGTTGACATTTTCTAATGAATTCTGCACTCGGCATCGGACTTCCAGGTCATCGATTTACTCTTCTTGTCTGCATTTTGCACCCCTTATGCTTTCCGAGTTTGTCCACGGAAATGACCGTCATTAAAGTTCACATTTGCACATCACTACACCCACTCAAGCCCATGTTCATTTTTTCTGCCTCGTCTTTAGTAACTTGGATTTATCATATCCGTCATCTCAGAGAGTTGATTCTTACTTTAATACAGCTATATCAGTTGTATCTGAGTCGGCACCATGTTGGCAGCATTTATAATGGTTTGCCTGTTTTCGTGAAAGTTTCCTCTTCCGTCTTAAGTTTATTAATTACGCCCATTCAGCTAGTAGAAGCATAACACTTGCGAAGAGAACTCTTTTCGGCAATTCACTTCAGGCAACTGCAATTACAAGGCAGGTAAATGTAACAGGTAAGCGAACGCTGGGGATGCGATTAGTTGACGAAGTCGATCCATAGTCCACTCGATACAGTTAGACGTCGTGAGTCGCGCGAGCATGCGCGAAGACGCACATGTGCAAAATACAGACGCATTTTGAGTAGTAGGTCTACAATGGTCACTCTCAATCGTAACCATGGTCCGACATTGCGGCCACAGCAACATAATAGATTGTACCAGTGTTTTCTGTTCGCACAAATCCGGCTGAAGTATTCTAATTGCAATGGCTTCAGCGGTGGCCAGCAAACGCCTTCTGTTTCCTTTGGCGTTTGGCGTCGGTGGCGTGTAGATTACTTTGAAGGTGTCACTAGTTTGAATCTGATGACCGGTACTAAGCAGGTGTTCGAGGATCGAGCTACGGACATTCTTAACCATACCATGCTGCAAAGAGGCAGGGCAGTGTTCCGCTATCCCTCTAGATAGACCCCTAGTCTTGTGCCCTAACGGCGACCCCATTGCAACTCCATCAATTTGTCGACTGTACTTTCCATCGTATAAGAACTGCTCGGTAAAGGCACAGCGTCGGATTAGTTCTCTTATCGTTTGCACAGAGATTTCAATGGCATTGTTATCAGCTATGTACTCGCAAATAAACTCTCAGCTTCCATCAAAAATGATTTGTGAGTAGGGATAAATGTTGGCACAAATGACGATTCAAGTAAACTTATACGGCCGTCTATAGAACCGTATCCTAGAGATCTGCTTCCATGCGCGGTAATCTTTCGAAAGGTTTCATTCTCACTTCGACGTCTTCTCTGGCTACGTGCTGATGTGGATTACAACAAGTAGGCCATCATCACATTGACTGTTGGTGTATGCAAATCCGCCGTCATCATGTTGACTTTTTTGTCTGGACTGCTGTTGTAAGCAATCGGGTTGTCATATTGACGCTCTTTATGTTCTCTGTTATATGCAATTATGTCGTCATCACGTTAACTCATTTTTGGGATGGGTTTTGTTACAGACTAGGCACTGCTGCCACACAGCCTATTCCACAATTCATCAGTTTCTATTCTTCCACTTTTAATGTTCGCCAGTGTGCGTATTAGGGATTGGCCCAATCGTGGCGAATAAAGGTAAAGTAGCAAAAAATGGATAGAACTGGTGTGCACGAACAGTAAAGCTAGATTCAGATCGTACATAATGATCGCAGAAAACAAATAACCTCTCGAAGTATTCATTTAACATAGACAACGTTCAGAGGAATATTGCGATAGTTCCGACAGCTGCAGGCAATGGAAAAGGCGCTGAGAATTGTTGCAGGTACCCAGTTTGTTGTCCCTGGTTATTTGCGCTTCTTTTTTCTAGCTACACGAATCTGCAGTTTACTGACTCTTGTCTACAATTTTGGTTGGTGCCCGGGATAACAGTGTGACGTAAAAGATGTGACAAATACGGGACGGTAAAAAAGGTGGATTTATCTGGACCCGACGTATATGGTACAGGCTGCAATGAATGAGAAGCAAATCAGTAAGGGCGAGGAGCTGTGTAGTACAGGACTCATCAGAGCATTTTGGGAAAACTGGTGTACAGTCAGTAAGACAAATGGACGTTATAAAGGTTCAAACAACCGTAAAATTCACTGTTGTAACTTACTAGAAAGGTGTTTTCAAGTATCCGGGAATCAGATAAAAACATAAAAGAATAAAGGGAAAGTATATAATGGTGATTGAAAGCTGGGCTGAAGGGAATCGCCTACCCCGTGCGGTCGATCAGGCAATCGATCGAGCGGACGAATGCGTTTTCAAACACCCGGCTAATTGGACTTTTGCCTCAGAGTTGAGAGGACAGTGTTTTCGGCGGCATTATCTGGCTACGTTGGCAGAGTTTTTGTTAACACGTTTTTCGTGGTCAAAGCTGTTGGAATTTTGATTTTTCTTCGACTGGGCTAGAATTTTTGCGGAGAAATTTCTGGGTGGTTAATTCGGAATAGCGAAAAAAGTGAAGATCTAACATCAAGTGCATTGAGAAGGCCTACGCCTTCGCTAGAACTATCAGGAGTGTGAGGGTATGTGAGGATGAATGCAATGACTAACAGATGGGAATGCGCACGGGATTCCAAGCTGGGGCATGTAGCGGTGTTCGCTAAGTCCAGTCTTGTTGTCTATTATTTACGATTTGCGTGTGAACCGGAGTGCATCGTCAGTGAGCCTTCGGGGCTGGTTCTTTGAACTATAAAAACTGACTAATCCAGTAAATAGGCCGACAGAACCTATTTTTCACTGCAGGTCCGACGGTGCACCTGGGAGGTGTCACTCTTTTCACCGCACCCCGGCCCACGGTCCTCGTCCCACGAAGTAATCCGGACGTTTTCGTCAACAACACTTAGCTAGGCGATCGGGGACCAATCCAGTTATAGTGACCCGCGGTCAAGGGCGACTGGTTGTCGCTTTGGTGAAGGAGGGGTCTTAATGCGGTTTGCTTGTAAATCGAAGATTGCTCTGGCGATTCCATTGGTTAGTTTGTTGGCTGTAGTGCAACACAATACTGACTGCCGATAGCGCTCGTCGGACGGCTCGCTCTGACAGACCAGTTTGCATCGTTCATGAATTTGTGCAGAGCAGCTTTTTCATGTCTATTTTTGTCAAATTCAATTTCTTTTGCGATTCTGAATTTTTTTATTGTGTATTACTGTCGTGTCCATATATTTTATTCTGGTATTTCTGTCGTTTGCTTGTTCATTTTATCACCTTTACCATCACATCTGCTAAGCTGTCCGTAATGACGAAGCCGACTCCCTGTGGTATTTGTTGCAAAATAGTTGGGCATAGAGCCAGTGCTGTTACATGCATTATATGTCCTGTGAATTTCCGCATTTCATGTATTGGTTTGTCTTTAGATCATTTTGAACTACTTCGCGAAATTCAGCATGACTTTGTCCAAATATTGTGCGCGAAACGCCAAACCACTGTTAGTCACAAACAGCCGAGAAGCCGCGCGAGCCTACAAGAGGGGCGAGAGGTTCCATGTGGCTGAGGTCCGTGGGTTCATCCAAGCAAACGGAAACCCAGCAGTCTCTATGTTCGAACGAACCCACTTGCCCACCGGCCAAAGGCTTATCAGAGCGATGTCCACCCGTTACTGTGGACTCAGCTGGCGTACCTGTGTTGCATCCTACGGACACTAACATACCGGTGTGCGATAGCGCAGGCGGTGAAGGGCAATGGAGAATTCAGCGAAGCAAAACGTAGAAGACAATTGCCAGCAGTCAGCGGCGTTGTAGCCTTATGCTATTTCACGCGCCTGAGTCGGCGGATGCTAGTCCTCAGGCTCGTTATGACCACGAGGTGGATTTTCTGCAGAGCCTGATTGATAGGCTTCTCGACCTGAATGAACAGGAGTTGCGGATGAAGCAAATCACCCGTCTTGGAAGGAGAGAGGAGGAGAAGTCCCAGCCTCGTCACCTTTGTTGATGCCTTTGTTGATGCTGATACTATTCCTCCTCAATAGACCGAGGTCTAAACATCTCTATTAATCTCCATTTGAATCCGTCGGACAGAGAGAAACTGAAGTCCGGTATCTTGGAGTTGAAGCGGTGGACTGATAGTGGACAAACTGATCACCACGTTGTAAAATCTCGGGTAGTTCCCCAGGTCCGCCGAACCCGGATCAACAGGTCGATGACGCTTTATGCGCGTCCGTCTGTTCCTACTGCGGCCTACGCGTTGCCTTCATAAATGTTTGTAGTCTACTGAACAAACGTGACGATGTATTTCACTTTGTTGCCTCTTGTCGTCCGGACGTTCTAGTACTTGCCGAATACTGGTTACATCCTGTGGTCACTACCTAGAAGGCCTAGTTCAATGGCTACTCACGTTTCTGGTGCGACAGACTGTCAAACGATCTAGGTGGCGTGCTGTTATACATCCGGCCCTCGCTGTACGGGGGACTGGTACACACCTACCTCAGCAAATATGGTCTGTGCGAACATTTATGGTGCCCAATCCGCCTGAGACAGGGTGGACTCTTTGTGGATACGGCTTATCGCAGCCCGCGAAGTCAATGCCTGGTTTGGTTGCCGCATGTCAGAAACTACACGAGTCGGCCCCGCTTCCTGCTTATGTGTGATTTTAACTTCCCTCGAATACCGTGGCCTAAGGTTCAACTTCTCCCCAGGCACTAAAATCGAGGCTTAGTTTGTTGGGAGGATATTTGAAACTGGGGCAGCACAACATGCCTGCCAACCGACGAGCGTTACACCGCATTCCGCTCCATCCTGCCTGCACTTGCTACTAACGAGCTGCGAGCAACGTGTATATGAAATTCAGGTCATGGGGCCTCTGGCACTTAGTGACCACTCGATGTGGTTAGCCAGCCTAGTGATGCCGCTGCCGTACTCGCGTCTGCCGGAGCCGTCCTACAATTATTGGAAGACTGACTTCGATGGTCTAAATCGAGCCTCCAGTACATTGGACTGGTCGCTGCTGCAGGATTCGTCTGTTGAAGCCTGTTAATCTATTGTAAACGTGGTTGTGCAATTGTTGTGCGTTCGTTTCGTACCCCTCAAGTATCGGAAAGCTGGACCA